TTTATATTATAGGATAATTATTTTCATTAATACATTCTTAATTATCTATTAATTATACTTATCCATGTCTTTGTATAATTTTTTGTACAAATATTCTTCTATTAGTATTATAAAACACTAATGCAAGTAATTTTGCAATTTTTTTCTTAATTTATATTACGTTTTGATATAATAATTAATATTAAAAAATCAATACGCAAAAAGTAAATAAAACTCTTAAAATCGATGTGAATGATATTTTTTTTACCTATAGTAAAATATAAATAATTAAATAAAATAATTTTAACACTTATGCAGAATGGGTAAAAATTAATTATATTAATTTATATCATTAAACTATATAATTTATACTATAATTAAGTTTTAGCAATCAAGATGTGCTGAATTTAAAAAATCAGCACAAATCCTTGTTAGTTACAAGTTGAAGTTTACTAATTCAAAATCAAATACCTTTTGCGGATGTCAATATTAATATATATATATATATATTGTCGGCTAAACTTACATACATTCTATTTATATTAAAATATCTTGTTACATTATAATTTTATTACTGATATTTTAACAAATAATAATTTTGTCAATATTATTCTTTAATTTACCCTCAATTTTTTTTTTTTTTTATCAAACTTATTAATAAATTTTATATAATACATTTAGTTAACTTTTTAACTATCCCACTTCAATAGTATAATAGTATCATTATTTATTAATTGTGTTCTATCAAAATTATATAATTTTTTTTATCATTTTTATTTGTTTCACTCATAAATATATTTTTTCTATTTTACAAAAAAAAAAAAAAAATTATACATTAATATTAAAATATTTTTTTTAAAATTTGTATTTAAATTATAAACATGTTATTACACATATAATTACTTTATAAAAATGTAAAACTTTCTTACTCACTGATCAATAAAATAATATTATTTTTTAATTTATTACAAAGACTTCAAAATGCTCATTTCATTTCAATTAGTACGAGAGAGTATAATATATGAATTACAGGGTGGCCAAATTAACATAAATTAAGACAAAATTGCCCTTACTAAAACCTAATGGTATGTAATACTCCAGTTATTAATAATTATTAAACTGAAAAATGTATACCTTTAATTGGACAAACAAAAATAAAAATGTATCAACCTTAAATGTGAATGAAAATAATATATTTTTTTTGGGGTTCAAAGGTTCTTGCCCCCAAGTAATATATATTTTTAGTAAATTTATTTATTTTATACATACCTAATAAATAAATATTAATTTAATAAATATTTTTATTTATATTCAAAACTTATCATTTTTTAAAAAAATAGTTTTAAGTTAATTAATAAAATTATATAAAATTTTATAATTTATAAAATAATATTCATATTGTATTTACTTTATTGGGATATAATAAAATATTAAAAATACCTACAGCATTAATTATATAAAAGATATTAAAATAATATCATACTTTAAATTATTTAAAATACAATGTCTCTAGCCAAAAAGACCATCTTAACCTGAGTACTTTCCTCTATATATATATATATATATTCTCATTTCCAATACAATATTTTTGTTTATTATTTTTATTCGTCTCAAAATAATAGTTTTATTTCCATAAATAATTATATCACTGTAAAACTACCTCTACTTTTTCATTTTTATTACACAATTGTCGCTATTTTTTACACTAATACACTCACAAGCGAAAAAAGTCTTTTTATTTATAATTTTTACCAAATACCAATATAATATCAATATTTCTTAAATTTCGTGTCAAACTCATCTAAAACTATATTTTTGAAAGGGATGGAAGAGTAGGGTTTAGGCTAGGTTTGGCAGGAAATTTTGTTAGTCAAAATCATAAAAAAGTCCACACATTTTGGGTATTCTTAATTATTTGGATTTGTATTAAATGTTTGTTTGAAGGTATAAAATGTTAGATAATAAATCTTTGGGGTGTGTTTAGTTTTGATTTAAAAACGAATGTTTAATTTTAATTTTTATTTAAATAATATTTTAATGTGATTTTTATGATATCAAATAGTATATATTATCAAATTTTGATATATGTTTTAAAAAAAGGAAAAAAAACAAATAATTCTTTTTTGTGTATGTTTGGTATTAAATGACCCGTTCTTATTTGGTGGAGTATTAAATTATGGTTTGTTTAATATTGTTTATTTATTTATAATTTATCTAGAATTTTAAAAAATATTAGACGATTTCAATTTTGTCAATTTAGTTCAGATTTTATAATTCAGATATAATAATTTTTACGAAATTTGTAAAAATTACGAAACATCAGAAGAAATAAAATATCATGTTACAAATCAAACACATTGATTATTACTAAAAACATCAGAAAAAATAAAATAAATTATATAGATAAAGAATGAAAATGAAACATAACCAAACACATCCCGGTTCTTTCTTGTCTTGTCATTTTTTTTATTTTCTTTTCGAAGAAATACACAACCGCTGCTCGCAGAGTACACTTTGGGTAACTTTTCGATCGAATTTAATATCCTGTAAATTAGACTCGATCAAATTTAATACTCTGCAAACTAAGTTCGACAAAATAAATCACCCTAAGCGCACCATATATAGCAAATAGATCTGGTGGAGTAAAACCTCGCACCATCGTGTCATCCCTTGTGGTACTTATGTCTTATCATTTATTGTACAACCAATTCCTTGTCTATGCCCATGTGAGTGCGGGACATTAATGAGGTAGGTAACCCTTCAATTAGGGTACTGATATAAAATTTATCAATACAATATTAATTGCTCCAATTAATAGAGAAAATAATATTATAAATAATATATAAAAATACAATATATTATTAATACGTGCGGTTAATTTTATTATATAAATTATAAATTTATATAAGTATGTTATTTAATATTTTTTTCGTCTCAACTCAAAATATTTTTCTTATCATGTTCATTAGTCATACTAAAAGTATTTCTTTTCTATTTTATCAAAATATCCTTAATTTTTATTTAAAAAATAAAATAGGACCATAATTGTTAGACGTTACAAACAAAAAATTAGGATATTAGCTTGTGAATGAAAAGAATATTATTTCTTAATCTACTGTAAAATTTCAAATAGATACATTCATCTGGAATGGGGTATATGTTACTGTCCTATCAGCATAGTGTTGATTAAATAAAATCAACACGGTAACTGCTATCGAGCGAATCCCATATCCATCCCAAAATTTCGAATTGAGAATGGCTTACGAGTTTATCCATACGACAACTAGTATAAATGTTTTTGTTGTTGTTGTTATTATTATTATTATTATTTGTTATTTTAATTCGTGCAATCGGCATTTAAAACTCCAATAGAAACACGAAATCAAATTGACAGAACGGTTAAAAATACACAATATAGGATAGAAAATCCACACAAGGAGTTAACAAGATGAATGCCTGATCGATTCACCGGAAACTAGCTAAATCAATGTCTTTTGTTTGTAAAAGGGTTGAAAAAAACTCATGAAATTCATATTCTAATACTTACAAACCGAATTTTCAATTTTGATCGATTTTCGATTTATAAAAATTGAAATTGAAATTGAACTAAATTTTTTCAAAATCAAATAAATTAAGTCTACATTCACGGGTAAAAATCGGAGAGATTTTAGTATACTGAAATTTTCATACGCTACTGCTAGGAACCATAACTATCTATTTATAAGCGCTCCAAAATACCCTAAATCCTAAGTCCATTTGTTATTAATTAGGATGGACCCAAAAGAAACCTGCCAACTCTTTTCGCTTTGGTTTCAGATTGGATAGACAGCTAAATTCAAGTCACGTTTCAATATATATTTTACATATACAATCAAATACAATATATATTATTTATTAATATATAAATTTTTATTATTTTTAAAAATTCAATTTTTTCGGTTAACCAAAATTAAAAATTAAAATCCATAACCAAACTGAAACCGAAGTTTATAAATTTGATTTTAGACCAAACCAAACCAATTACTGAACAGTCTCAATTGAAATATTTTCTTTTTGATTTTTTTGGATTTACACCAACCAATGCTGACCCCTACATTGGTAGGTAGTGGGTGCGATCATCCGAATTTCAACTACGGAAAAAAACAACCTATAGAATCAACAATACCGATTTCAAGTACATACACATCCATAAGTCAATAACCCATCCTTCAAACACAGCCCAAGACCCATTTTTTGTGTAAATTTCTTTATTTATTTTTGTTGTATATATAATACTCCTTTTTCTTCAAAAAATATACATTTTATCATTTTTATTAGTTCAAATATAAAATATATATTTCTTCTATCTCAATTTAATGTATATTTTTTACTATTTTTATATATTCCACTAAAAAATACTCCTTCAATCCATAAAATTAGTCTATTTGATAATCCCAAAACGGAATAAAAAAAATTTTAATTTTATTATAAAACATCTGCAGATGTGCTTTCGTAGCTCAGTTGGTTAGAGCACCCGTTTAGTAAGCGGGAGGTCTTGAGTTCGACTCTCAACGAAAGCAAATTTATCCAAGATATTATTATTTTTACTTGTCCTTCCAACGGTCTTAATATTTTCATACAACTATGCATATTTTACTGTTTAAACCAATCAAACTATCTCACAAAATATCCAACAAGAACTTCAATTCCAATGCATCCCTTTACATTAGGAATATTAAAATAAAAATAAAATCTTATAATTTTCATATATTCCATTCATTTTTATTTATTTTTTTTTAAATTTTAGAAAACATAATCATACATCAATACATTTAACTTTACTATCTTTTACCCCATTCCGCTTATAAATAAAATATTATTATTTTTTAATTTACTACACAATTTCAAATAAAAATAGAATATTTAATGAAATAATAATAATATATTAATTAGTCTAATGACATTTTTGCGAGTATTTGTGAAAAAAAATATATATATTTAAAAAATAATTACTTTGTAATTGGAAGTCCTACGATGAATTATTTAAAACATAAATAAATAAATAAATATTACAGCATTTCCCAAATTCCAAAATTAAATAAGCTTCTTATACCAAATACCAAACAAAACAATAATAACAATTATAATTACGAAGAATAACATATTTCTAAATGCAAGAACAAAATATGATGCTGATGGCTATATGGTCTTCTCCAAAATAACACTTTTTAACACAACTCACAGACTCATATCATCAATAAACCTCACCAATTAACTTAAATTATTTCTAAAAATTTCTCCAAGACACTTCTGCTGACCTTAAATTCCTGTTGAAAGGAAAGCTTTTCCTTTTCGATTCTGTTTCTTCGAAGCAGATGAAAATCTACTCGGCGGCAGCGTCGTCGCGCACACTCTCGCTCGTCAGCCACACCTTTTTCTGTACGATCAGCACGACCTCGTCTCCATCCTCGCCGCCCTCTGCGCCTGGCTCTGCCGTCGCCACTGCTTCCCAGTGGAGCGCGCCGAGATACTTCTTCACAAAGTCGATGATCGGCTGCCTGTCGCGGAAAATGGCGAAGCCTGTTGGCCTCAGGATGCGGTCCATTTCCAGCAGAAGGTCCTCGCCGCTGCAACCTTTCTTTTCTATGTCCGAGAAAATGCTCCCGGCATGGAGCAGGTCGTAGGTTCGAGGGTATGTGGAGAAGGATTCGCACCTGAGGGAAATCGAACCGATTAGAAGGTCGCAGTTTTAAATCATACTCGCAAAGTATACATATTTATATTTTAAATTGTTCAATTACAAAGCACTTTTTTTTCTATAAATACTCTGTATTTTACCATCACATCGTTACTTTTACACCAAAAGGTAAAAGTATAATTGTTTTTACACTACTTTTAACTATCTACTACAATTAAAATACTATTACCTCCGTCCGGCTATTAAGGGCTACATTTACTTTTTTACGTGTTGATCTTTGAATATTAATTATTATATCAAAACGTAGTACAAATTAAAGCAAAATAAACAAAAATATTTCTATTAGTGTCTTATAATACTAATATAAAAATATTTTTAATGTAAAAGTACAATGACACAAAAGATAAATACAACCCTTAGAGACGGACATAGACGGTATTATTTATTAAACTCGGCTAAAAGTAAATATATACTTTTAAAATGGCCGGAGGGAGTATTTGTTAGGATAAATTCCAGAATATTTAGAAATGATCCAGCCATCACTAATAACTCAAATTGCTATTCAGCTCACACAATTCCCAATAAAAATATATTACTATCTCCGTCCGGCTCTAAGAGTCTTGTTTACTTTTTGCGTGTTGATCTTTAAATATTAATTATTATATAAAAACGTAGTACAAATTAAGGAAAAATGACAAAAATACTTCTATTAGTGTCTTATAATACTATTATAATGACATTTTTGCAAAAAAATTTAAAAATATAAGAAAAATTTTAATGTTAAGTACAATGACGCAAAAGGTAAATAGAACCATTGGAACCGTACGGATGGAGTATTATTTTTTCTCATAAAACCTCGCATCAAGTGGTCTAACTTGATATTTAGCTCCAATCTTAATCATTCTAGGCGACTCAAACTCCTCGGCTAAATTCCATATCAGTGTACCAATTTAGAACTACTAATAGACCGATTTTTTAAAGCTTTGTTTGTTTGCTTATCTAAATATGATCTAGCATACGACGTCAATGAGCTAAAAATAAAATCAGCAAAGGTACTTATTTGTTACCAGTTATGAATTGAGCCGATCAAGCCTCTGTCGAAGACAATCTTGAGGGTGTTGGGTCCGTCTTCGGGTACAACATTCATTACCCAAACATCTTTGTCTTTCAAGGCAGCAGCAAATGATCCCAAATTCGCCTTCATATCCATCAAATTTCTTACGGTGTCAGAAGAGATCTTCGGACTCAAGAGGTTCCAATAATGATCCACTCTCCGCCTCCACAGATCCTGTTAATTAAGCATAAAGTTAAATATTGACCCATTTTGGCAAGGTATTGAAATTATTGGCAAGCATAGATCTGCAGCCAACACCACAAGGACAAAATCGCACATAATTAAAGAAACAACATATATTTTGATTACCGTGTCTTTCTCAAACATTTCGCTTGAATAACCAAAATCAGCAAGGCGTGGAGGAGGAGAGGTCAATCGAGCAGGCCAGGGCGCCAGTCCACTGCCGCGGGCTTTGTGATCGTCTGGTGATGAGAAGTAGTAAAAAATATAACCAATAAATCCAAAGCATATATTTGAACTTTTTAAATCTCAGAAAAGTTTAGAAAATGACATATCCAAATCATGTGAGCTCATCAAGCGTAAATCTTGGCGCAGTACGGAAATCAGTGACTTACGATCAGAATAAGGCGAGATGCAGGCTTCCATTTTTACGCCCCAAACAGCATCAGGATCATCGTCTGACCTGCAGAGTGGCGGCTGAGTACCAGGTGCTCTTTCCAAATAACAATCGTTAGTTAAAGGCTTTTGCCAAATGACAGTTTGGTTCTTTTTCGCAGCTATTCTCCAACACATACGTTCCACGAGGGCACTCATTTCTTTCCAGATTCTAAGATCTTCTTCATCCTGAGCGTAAGCTTCCGGGGATGAGTAAGCGAAATAGCCGCCAGGTCTGAGAAGTCTATCCAGTTCAAGAAGAAGGATTCCATCCCTCTGAAGCCAGTCGATTCGGCAACGGGAACAGTGTGCAAATTCAAAAGACCTGCTCGGATAAGGAAGCCTCTTTGTCCCAAGAACGCCAAGATATGCAGGGATTCCTCTCTCCAAAGCGAATTGGATTTGGTTTTGGTGCACGTCGTTTGGCGCTAGTGACATGGCAATGATATCAGATGAAAGAAGGTATCCACCAAAACTTGCAACACCGCAGCCGACGTCGAAAACCGTGCGCAACCTTCCTTCGTCGTTGAGGTTACTGTTGGAAAAGTTGAGCATCTGCCATCAGAAAACCAAACAAGAATCCGAGTAAGGGAGACTTCTTTTGGATCAGTTTTGAATTAAAAATGCTAAAACACATTCAAAACAAGAATATAAATTTCATTATTTCAAAATAAATATTAAAAAACAAATATAAATCAACAAGTTGAGATATATATTCGATAGTTACACTATTCAAATCCCAATTGATTTTTATTCATTCTTGCAAACCTACAACAAAATCTCACCAAAAATCTTTCATACATTCATATCATCATATCAAATTAATTTCAGACCAACAAAATGAAAAACACATTTCACACTCAAAACACTTCAAAAATTACATCAATGGTGGATATATGGGGACTTACATTTGCAATGTGTGCAATGTATTTATCAGCTCCATAATGGAAATGGGTTCCTCCTCCGGGGAAATTAATTTTATCTCCTTTAACAACCATCCAATTCTGGTCGGACTTTTCATGTGCTAGGTGAGTGTGTGGAATATTAGCTTTCCAAACTTCATCTCTACTTTGTGGCCATTTGATCGGGATCTGTAATTCAAAAGAAAAGGATGTAAAAACACAAAATCTAATAAATTGTTAGCCGTATTCTGCAGCCGTCAAAACACCAATTGCATAACCAAAAGAAAAGAGGTCTCCCTCCACCTTGTATCCATGAGGAGGAGGAATCAAACAATTAAACCGCCTTTCGGGCATTGGGCAGTGTCTTTCATAGTGCTCCATCACAGATAGATCTAACTTCAATCTCAATTGGTAAATAAGATTTCTGTCAAGACAAGGGATCAACTCTGAATGGCGATCGTCACATACCTTAGAAACAAAAGGAATGGTTACAAAATGTCATAAAAGAAAACAATGGCATGAAAGCACATCAATACGTCGGCATTCTTCTTACAAAATACTTACAGGGAAGCTCTTGGGATAGATTCCTTCCTCACCATCATCTAGCCCAAACTTGACTGACGAATCATCTTGCTTGTCGGAATCTTCATCTCCTCCCAAATAAGAAGAACCTAGCTTTCTCAAAGAGCGGCTACCGTACTCCAGAGCAGACTCGCCAGCATTATTAGAACCAAAGTAGAAATACAGAAATACGACAAACACAATCCCAAGACAAACAGAGGCCAACAACCGCTTCTTCTGCCGCCCGTCTGGTCGTCCCCTCGTCATTTAAATAGATTCAGTGAAGTTGAAACACCTCCTTCTCCTACCACCACAATTTTTCACCTTAAAGATTAAGAACGTCAGCTTATAATAGAGATCAAACAATCTTTTAAATAAGCATAATATAGATGAAAGTATAGAGTCAAGCAACGTATAAAATCAAACAAACCATACATAAGGATACTTCTAGAAGTAAATCAGGTTGCATAATCCAGTTATGAAATTGTAAAAAAAATTGCAAGAAAATCACTAGTAAATTCTGCTAAAAGTAACACGTGCCGTGAAAGGAAAAAAATCCTTCCCATGAATCTATGCTTTCAGATAAGTTAATCGCAAAGGCGGTATTTCTAATAAAGGTATATCCATACTCAAATGGGAAAACAGATAATCACAAAACACAGTTCACAAAATCAAAATGTAGCGAAAAACAAATGTCATATCCCATTAACTACCCTTATGCATTGATGCAATTTGATTTTGGAGTTTTCGGTCATTGTCTTTCATTTCGATGAAATAAATATATGTCAAAAATTCCTATTAGCAAAAGATGAAGTCACATTATGACACTCATTCTTTCCACAAATATTCGTAATAATTGAACAACTACTACTACTACTATTCTTAAATATGATCTCATTTATTGTGTCATTCACGACGAACAATCAAGTTATGACATAAAGCTAAAGAACAAGAACAAACCATGTCAGCAACTACATTTTGCTCCAATTTCTTTCGGAAAACTAAAGATACGATTATTAAAGCAATCGAAAGGCACCTATTCAAGCCTAATTTGAGTAAATCCAATCAAGTTATAACAAAAAGCTAAAGAACAAGAACAAAGAATATCAGCAACTATATGCTCCATTTACTTTCGACAAACTAAGCTACGATGATCAAAGCAATTGAAAGGCACCTGTTCATACCTAATTTGAGTAAATCAGTACAAATCAGCCATAGAACAAAATAGGTTGGATTCTAAATCCAATTTCAAGTTTTCAACCTCACACTACAAACGTTTTCTCACATGTAAACATCCGATTTACAGTCAAAATTCAAATCAGCAATCAGATCCCCTTCCACAAATCGATTCAATTTGCACCTCCACAGATACAGATCTGCAAACCCGAAACCATCCAAAACGCTCACACCCATGAAAATTTTAATTAAATTCAATCAACATACACACACTACTGCCGATTCAATCCGGCAAAACAAACCTAAAAAAAAAAAAAAAAAAAGAAGAAGAGCACAAATCTAACACAAGCAAGCAATGCAGTGAAAGGGCAGGAAGAGGCTTACTGAATCGGGAACAGGGCAGATCTGATCCGAAGCTATCAATCTATCGCCGCATCAAAAATGAAGAATGCAATGTGAAAGAAAGAAAGCAGGAGAGTATTCGAGATCTGAGGGGTGGGGTGGGGGGAGTGAGGATAGAGCTGCTTACATGAACATGGAATTAATTGATTGGAATGGATCGTCGTCGGTTAGATCTCGTCTCTGGAATTTTTATATGCTCATTTTACTGCGTGTGTGTCAGTGCGGACGCCATTTTTTTTTTTAATCTATTTTTGGAGGTAGAAAGAAAGTTGCCCTTATATATATTTTCACCATTTCTCATCTTCAGGTTTTATTTTATTTTCAGGAAAAAAAAAAATGTTGAATAATGCTTAAAGAACAAATTTGAATTTTCTTCGCATAATAAGTGAAATTTGAATTGAAACAATTAAAATTTTATTATTCATTATTCTTTTATCACCAAATTTATGCATTTTTTTTTTGCCTACATAAAATATTCACTTTTTAGTCAATAGTAAATTTTATATCCTCTTTAATTTATATCTTTAAATAATATTTTTAATTAAAACATAAATCCGATCTTTTTAAACCAAACCCAAAATAAAAAGGAAATTTAGTCAAAAACATACTGACAATAATAGGCGCAGATTTTCACATTATAAAAAATAAAATAAAAATTTGTAACCTACATTTTAAAATTTCGAAATCTTTTTAAAATAACACTACTAAAATATTTGTAAATTTGAAACATACATTTTAAAATTTCGAAATCTTTTCAAAATAACACTATTAAAATATTTGTATTGATTCAATATTTTGAAAGAATAGATAACTATTTGATGTAATTTATTATTATTATTATTAAATAATATCAAAATTTTAAAAAATATGCATATAAATAAAGTCATAAGACAAGAAGTTTTATTTTATTTACTTCTTGCATTTAATTTTGATAATTGCATATGATACATGACTCATTCGTCGGCAAGAAACATATATGATTCTATTATTATTATTATTATTATTATTATTATTATTATTATTTATACATGTTGTGATAATAATATTTCATAAAATGACAATAAATTGTTGGCAATTCACACGTGTGGGACTGCTGGGCTCGGCCCAACAATAATAGTACACTCGTCCACACCCAATCTATCTATTTGTATTTGGTGTCATTGTTTTTAACATTAAAAATATCATTATATTTGTATAATTTTTGGTACAAATTTTATTTCATTAGTATTATAAGACATCAATAGAAGTATTTTTATCGTTTTTTTTAATTTGTAGTATATTTTAATATAATAATTAATATTTAAATATTACCATGAAAAAAGTAAATAGATAAATTTGAGTTATGTGTAGTTGAAGTTATGGATAGATTGGAGTTATTGTTTAAATATAAATAATTAAAAAATATGTTTACAAGTTATGTGTAGTTGGAGACTTGGAGTCTTTATTATTGAGTAATGATCTTTATTCAACAATATTTAATACAAAATTTTATTTTTTTATATCATTGTACAATTATTTATATCTCGTATAAAATACATTAAATTGAAACATTAAAAAAAAAAAAAAAAAAAACCTATATATTTTTTTTTATCCAAATAATTATGTTATTTTGAGTGAGCACAAAAAAATTACATAATATTTTAATATAAAAATAAGGTAAATAAAAATTTAAATGATGATATAATAAAAATTACTAAAACTTTGACAAAAAATGTAATAAAATGAGTAGAAAAATTTGTGAAAATTAATTATTATTTATTAAAATAAGAATGACAAAATCATAAGCTAAAAAATATTTATTATAAATAAATCGTGCATATATTTTTTTTAGGTGGAGAAACTAGTCTTCCAATGAACAACTCACAAATTGTTCTAAGGAAAATCACATTAAACTCTTTTCGCAAAAAAATTATAAACTTAAATATCTAGTTTTTATTTTTATAAATTATGTTAAAAATTAATTTTATATTCAAAACATCAGATCATATGACTATTTCAATTCAAAATTTTTACTATTCAAAACAAAATCCAAACTTTCAAACGAACACACTCAACTCAAAAAGGATAGAATGAAACACAACAAATACAATCCAAAAAGTGAATCAATACAACCATATCGAATTGAAGCCTTGTATACCATAAATAAACAAAAACATCATCGACCAAGTAGCCATAGCGTAACAAGTAACCATCAAAAGACTAAAAATGGTAGAACAAAGTAATAAAGTATGAGTGTGAGAAAAAATAAAATGTAGAGTGAAGATATCGTTCAAATACCAAAGGAGCAAAGAAAGCGTGAAAAATATGAAGTGGTTGTTGAATATATCCCACATCAGAGAAAAAAAAAAAAAACTATTTCTTAAAATAGTATTCGATATTGTTTTTTCATCACGAATTAAATGTAAATTGAAATTCAAATCTCTTCTTAATTATTCGAATAATCACGTGAGAACAATGTACTAAATGAGAGAATATATGACATAAAAGAGAAGTCGGAGGCAAAGTGCTTATGTGTGAATTAAGTCTATAGAGAAAATTTTTGGTGCGCAACTTCCTTCGTCCCAAAACTATATTTTTAATTGAATTTGGCACGAGATTTAAGGAATATTGATATTATATTGGTTGTTGGTAAAAAGTATGGATAAAAGACTTTTTTGCCATGAGTGTATTAGTGTAAAAAACAGTGATAATTGTGTAATAAAAATGAAAGAGTATACTAGTTTTATGGTGATATTGTTATTTATGTAAATAAGACTATTATTTTTGGACGAACAAAAATGATAAATAAAACTATTGTATTGGGACGAAGGGAGTATATTTTTATATAGATTAAAAAAAAAAAAAAAACCATTATAATTTATTTGTTTGTTTTTAAATCTCAAAAGTGAATTATGCCATAACCTTCCAGTTCAAATTATAACTTGAACTTATGCATGTTAAACAAATAAATTCAAGTATTTATTACATATATTCCTTCCGTCTACTCCAAAGTGTGTAGAAAATTTTAATATTTTTGTTTTTTTATTTTATGTAAAAATAATTATATATATAACTATATATTTGTAATTTAAAGAATATTTTGATATTAATATATAACTACTTTTATTAAAACAGAAGAAATACTTCGGAATGAAGCGGAGAAAAAGGGTAAAAAAGATGTTCTAAGTTAAAACGAGAGAACACTTTTTTGAAAAAATTATTATTTCAAAAGTAAAAAATTAGTTTTAATTTGATATTTTATGATAAAAAAATATACTCCCTCCGTCCCACAAAAATAAGTATTCATTTGCTTTTTACACATAGTTCTAAAAATATTAATATTATATTGAAATATAATAAAAATAAAATAAAAATGACTAAAATAATCTTATTAATATATGTGATATAAAAATAATGACATTTGTATAATATATTGTAAACTGTAAGAATATTTGTAATGTTATATAGATAGTACAGATATTAAAAAAAAAAAATACTTTATTATGAACGAAGAGAGTATATATTTGATTTAAAATTTTTTCAGAAATAAATATTCAGTGTTCACACCTATTAATATAATATATATTATATTTATTAAAAAAAAATATTTAATATAAAATATTATTTTTTATATTATCAACACAATTCTTAAAAAAGCCGCGTATCAAATTTATCAATAAACTAAGCTAAAAGTCCTCACCAGAGAAACAAAAACACACATGCACCCCAAAAAAAACATCCAAATTTAACAGCCATCAACTGCTTAAACACTTTCATCATCCACACAACAATGGCTGCCAAAACCTTAAAACAAACAAATCATCACAACAAATACCTCCATTGCGCAGTCCAGTCCTTCGAAACCAGTAAAATCCTCGAACCGGAGTAGTCGAACGCCGGCGACCGTCGCAGCTCACCGTTGTCGTCCCCTCCGATAACTTCCTTCACAATGCTCGACTGGTCGAAAGACGGCGACAATCTGTTCCCATTCACGGCGTCGAAAACGAACAATCCCCGCGCGCACACGCCCATCACGAGGCTCGAATTTCCCCACACTTGCGCCAACGACAACTCAGCTCGACGAGCATCGTTCGATTCTTCCTGTAAAATGTACGTCGCAAACGGCCCCGGTTTCCGCAGCGAGAAGTGTTGGATTTCCACCGAGTAATGCTTCTTCCCGGCCGAGATTAAATTGGAGCACCCGACGTAGATCGAGTCGCCGTGCGAGTACGCCGAGTGCGCGAAGAATCCAACTTTCGGTATCTTGAGGCCGATTCCGGAAGGGTGTCGAAAATCTAGAACGTTTATCGAGTCCTCCGTGCAAAACACCCCGTCGTTTCCTTCCGCGTCTTGCGAACTAACTCTGCAAAGACAAAAAAAATCAATGTTCTTCAAAACATTTTTATCGGCACATTATTATAGCCGTAAAACAAACGAACAATTTACGAGCTTGGCTCGATTCGGCTCGTTTAAGCTTGCTAAAAGCTCGTTTGTTAAACTAAACAAACCAAACACGAACATAAATTTTGGCTCGTTATGTTCACAAACGAGTTCGAGCTTGTTCGCTAACGTTAGACAATATTTTTTAAAAAAAATTAAATTAATAATTTTATATTTAATAAGTATATATATCTTTATAAATATTATATTTTCATTCAATTTTATTTAAATTTATTAATAAAATAAAATTTCTCTTAATAAGCTGAGTCGAGCCGAGCTCGAGTTCTTAACCAGCGGAGTTCAAACATGACAACCTCGGGTCTGTTCGAGCTCGCTTACAGCTCTATGCATTATATAGTCTGCGCCATCTTCCTTAGAATTTAGAAACAGCAGTAGAATTTCATCGAAGACTATGTGCAATACGACGAAAGTCTCTTGCAGTTTCTAAATCATGAAGAAGTATGATACAGGCTTTTCAAACTACAGATGGATTAAAAGCAATTTTGCCGTAAAAAACATGATTTTCACAATCAATATGATCTCGACATCGATTTCAAGTTTAAATTCGCGGATAATAAATTCGCATATATTATCCGCGCTCGAGCTGCATTTATGCGACAAATTCGACGCAAACCATATGAAAATAAAAAAATGAACTCAAGATCTTTGCAAAATCGAATAAAATGCGCTTAAGATTACCTTTGCCGGACTCCTCCCCCGATTTCAGCATCAGTGTTGTTTACGCTAATCGCAGAAATTTTGCGACCAACGGAAGGAACCGAAAGCAGCGCCTCCGAGCTAAGCGAACTAACGTCCCACAGAGAAACGCCGTCCGATTCTGCGACCACGACTTTCCCCCGATTTCGCCAATGCAAAGGAGTCGCGTAATCCATCGCCCGAACGGGTTTCTGCAGCTCCCACTTCATTACATTCTCCCCGTCGCGAATGTCGTAGAGTTGCACCGTCCTCTGTCCGCAAGCAGCCGATGTAATAAGATGGCCGCAAGGCGTAAACCACATCTGTCTGTTTTCACGCACAGCTTCATTTTCGAAATGAAAAGCTCGAACTTCTTTCGAATAAAAATCCCACGAGCAAAACCCCGATCCGAATGAATCTCCAGCTGAAGCTGCGACGACGTAGCGCGACGAGCATCCATCGGCGCTCGGCGCGCGAATTATCCAACAATCGTTCGAAACGTTCGACTGCGAAATCAGAGGCTTGTACTCGGCCTTCACCTGAAAACGAACGAAACAATTAGCACATCGATAAAATTGATCGTTTTTCTACGTTATAAACGCATCGCGTACCTCGCAATTCGCTATGTCGTAGAAAGAACAAGAACCGTCGTCGTGCGCAAGAATCACCGACTCTCCTTCGAACACGAACCATCCGCCCGTCGACAGCTTGCATCCGATACTCGTCAGCTTATTCTTGCGACAATCTTCGACGCCATCCTCGAACATCATCCCGGGAACGTCTTGTTCTTCGCATAATTCGTCGAACTTCTCGTTTTTATCGATGGATACATTTAGAGACATTTCTTGAATCGACGATTCTTCTCCCCTATTCAAAGAAGCCAAAAACTCCGACGCGATCGCATTTCCGTCATCGACAGCCTCGGAAGTTCCGACATTTTGGGCCTTCGACAATGTTCGATCTCGAATCAATTTATGGTGCGGAAAAAGCCGCGCCTCTAATTCGTCGACGTTTAATCCTTTCACCGAACTTCGAACATTCGAAGCCTCGATCCCTTTGCTATCTTGGATACTTACATTTCCCATAGCCTTTTCGATCCCCGAAATCTTTTCCTGAATGTCGGAAAGGATCATTTTCGAAGTATCTGAATTGTTCATATCCAACATCTCTTTTGTACGTTTGATATCAGAAGCTATCCTCTTCACTTTACCTTCCAGAAAGGCTAATTTCTCATGAAGCTTGCTTGGATTCTTGTTGTCCATTTTCGAACCTTCTAGAACACTGCTACCTCTGTTGATCGGCCTCGTCTCCCTCGAATTCAACCTCTGTCGGACTGATTTCACCTTCGATTCGACTGAATCGAACTCTGAAGAAGCTTTTTCACTAGAAATTGAATTCAAAACCCTAAAAATTGATTTCTCCCTAAATTCCCCCAAAATCGGTCCATTTCTAACGAAATCTTTCGCTAATTTCTTAGGATTATCGGATTTCTCGATGAATTTCTCGTTAGGAACTTTCCGGGCGACGCTGCTGACTTTCCGGTGGGGTGGAGCGAGAGAAATTTTGGTGGAATTTTTACGCAGATCGGAAAAGATACGAGTGAATTCAGAGGGGCTAGAGCTCCTACCTCGCGGAACAGATGAAGTAGATCGCCGGGAAGGAGGCTCCTCCGGCGCCGCCGCGGCGGCGGACTTGTCGAGGCGAGGAATTGGGCGGAGGTTGGGCTTCTGAGTGGTCTCCCGAAGGCGGCTTGTGGAGCGAGACCTGATGTTCTCCTTGCCTAGCACCGGAGATATCTTTCCGGCCGGCGCGGCGGCGATTTTGCCCCCTCCGCCGCCGCGCTCCTTGAGGCGCCGCACCGACGACATTGAGAAATTGGAGAGGTTGAGATGAGAGATCTGGTGATTTGTTGGGGTGTGTGATTTTAATAATAAAGGGAATTTGGAAAAGGCGGGATAATTTGGATTTTGAAATTTGGATTTATTTTGATTTTATTAATTAATTAAGGAAGGTATATGGAAATAGTACTCGTAGTAAATGGAATGCAGAAATCATGCTCCAAATTTCTTCAACTCATAAAAACATATTTTCAGTATTAACGTTTGAAAAAACTACTATTACTTTAAATATATATATATATATATATTTTTATCACTAAATATTTAATTAAATAGTTCAAAATTTTGAAGTCTATATCTAATTTGTAGTGATTGAAAAAGGTTTCTTTGGTATCAAAATATAGTAGTAACATTTAAAATTGTTACTCTAATTTTTAAATATTAGATGTGATTCGTCTAATATAGACTACTAGATTCCATTGAAATTTACTAAGGGTGCGTTTGTTTGGAAGTTTGGAGAAAGGTGTGTTTATTTGAAAGTTTGGAGTTTTAAATAGTAAAAATTTTAAATTATAATAATTGTACAATGTGATATAACCGATTGTTATGTAATGTTTTGAAGACGAACACACCCAAAGAATGCATTAAAAAAATAGGGACAAGATATTTTCACATTATATATATAAAAGCTGTGAATTATGTACTAATTCGGCTATACATAACCAACAAATATTTACACATAGTACAATATATACTATATGTTGAATTATACTGTATTAAAAATATGTTGATATATATATATAAATATACGTTACTTGTATAATATATATTTATCCGATCAAAATAGCACCATGCTGATTTGACCGGATAAACAATTAATTCGTGACCGTATATATAACATCACATCGCATCCAAATATGGTTTAACCCCAAAACACCACGAATCAAAATACTTAGAAATACAAAAATAGCACACATTCAATTCATACATATAAATGAAAGGATCCAAGATCAATGTGATAATCTTCCATACAAATCTCCCAACCTTCACATTTGATTATAGATAATAGCTTCACTCCACAGCAACAAACTGTACATACATACCGCCTTCGAATCGCCGGAAAATCAAACGGAATATATCCGAATCACCTGGTCGATGTTGGCGCGGCAGACCGGACAGCCCCATTTCTTACCTTTCACTTCGGTCAGGCAAGACATGCACCCGGCGAGGTGGCCACAGGGCACACAAGCGCCCTCCAGAGGAGCGTCGAGGCATATCGTACAGCACAAAGTCGCAGCGTCATCTTTCTTTCCGTTACCTTCGTCAGGAACGGCATCCAGAGAGGAAGAAGGAATGTCGATGGGGCTTGCGTCGATAGACGGATATTCAATCGGTCCGTCAGCAGGAGGGGCAGATGGAATAGCAGGAGAAGGATTCTCAGGAGCTGCCGGGACAGTGGATGTAACCGAACAAGATTCCTCCATCTGGCATTTGCTCTTGCTCGATGTCCCCACATCGTAATTTTCTTGATTTGTCGCGGGATTTTGAGAATTCCCGGCACTTGTGGATGCATCCGCTCCTGATCCGACGTAGGTGTTGGTGTGAGGTAGTGTTTCGTGTGTAGACGCGAGGGATGCGTTAATTGCCATGGTGAGTTCGGCATCTTCAGGATTCGACGGATCTGCTGGGGCGGTAGGGGCTTGAGGAAACGTCGGATGGATCACCTGGTTTAGAAATTTATTTTCGAGTTAGAACGGGGACAAACAGCATAAATAGGACCGAAGAAAGCGGCGCAAATAATTTGAAGTATGATATACCTGAGGAATTCCTTTACAAGCATTGCAAAACCTCTGCAGTTGGTGTTTTTCGCTTTCGTGAGTAGGCGTAAGTTTGATAAGTGTATCTGCAATACCACATGGATTAGTGTCGATCGAACAAACTCATGGAAATTTAATTTATCGAATGTAGTATGAGTGAATTCAGCTAATATCGACAGCGAAAAAGCATGCGAGATTAAAACTAAGCATACGATTTCACATGTAAACGGCATACACAAAACCGATAAATGCGTCGCAGTTGAAACTAAAAATTGCACACCTTGACTACACATATGCATATTCCGTTCGTTTAGTTGAAAACATAGGCAAACAGCATTCTCCATGATACTAATCAAACCAATCTTAGGAAAAGTTGCCGACTTCGAATTATATACTTTCTCCGTTTTCTATCTCTTTAAATGTGAAAAAACCATTTTATGCGTCTTCGTTTTAATCTCAATGATTATCAGATCTAAGGAACATTCATCAAACATGAATCCACTGTAATGCAGTTATGTTTCGACCATTTACATATGATATTCCGATGTCTAGCGTCTCCGGTGGTATAAAGTGCTAACAGTATATTATGAACCTGAAATTAAAATACGTACTTCGGGAAAAATCAGATATCACTGCTGCGGGGTCTGGCAGATTAAAGTTAGGCTCTGTTAGGTTTGCTTTCCATAATGGAATAACCGTGCGCGGTTGGGGATCCTGCAAAGAAGTAAAATTGAGCGAGACGAGAAATATGATACAAATAAGATACAAAGAATCTTTAGTTTTGATGGCATATGCAGCTTATACAGGGCCACTTCAAAACTTACGGAAAGCATCCGAAACATATAAGGAAACCATAATACAATGTAACGAAGAACTAAAGAATAATTAAACTTAGTAGATGGATAAGTTATAAATCATTTTATATTTAATCGCGGCAAAGAGTTGAAGATCGAGATAAGTAGGTACCTGTGCACCAGCATAAACAGCAAGCTCCAACTTTAAGGGCTTTCTAATATTACGGGAGCCACAAGGCAAGATAACGACCCAACTGCATAAATGAATCATAATAAGGTCCCTGTGATGTGTAACTGAACTAAGAAGCGAAAAATGCAAATGCAAATGATAGGATTGACATCACAAATTGGAGAGATTCAACAAGTCACTTGGCTCCGTTACTTAATGAAATTAAATCTTATGTAACATGAAATGAGAAATAAGAAATTTGTGCTACGGGCCAATCAAACACTTAAAAAACGAGTACGGCGCTCACACTCTTCTTGAAAGCAACTGAGGTGCAAGAAGTTCCAGAAAGCCAGGTCCATAGAGTTCTCGAAGCCAACCGGAGAATAAGCACAAATGTTCCTGGCGAACGCCACAAAAAAACAATCAGTTGTGGTGAATTATAACATGAAAACAAAACCAATCAACGATGATGACCGGGCAAAAGGTTTACCTCAATTGCTCGGACAACATTGCAGTATCCTTTTGCTCTGGCGACATCAAGTGCAGTTTGACAATCATCGTTCATTATTAATGCATTAGCTGAAATTTTCCCATAAACGGGCCAATTAGAGGTTAATAAATATAATCACAGAGGACTTTGTCATCTCACGATGAATCGCATCGATGAATGCATACACACCTCCATGTGAAAGCAGCAACTTCACAGTCTTTTCAAGACCCCTTTTCGCTGCATGATGTAAAGGCGTTCCAGCATGGCGACCTCCAAATTGAAAAAAATGAGAAATTAGTAAACAATTACAGAGACATCAAGCGAAAGATAGATTAGAAGGATGCCATGACCAACGCTTAGAGATCTCATTCCATGAATATATTAGAAAGGTTGAAAATAAAGAAAAATAAAAGATCGATACCGCTACAATAACTAGCCTATCGACAGGTAAATAATTAATTAAACAAACAATAATTTGCACACAAACAGAATAACAACCACTATTGTAGTAAAACTAACTCAATATACCATAACAACAATATTACATAAGTTTGGCCTTTCTTTCGATTGATTGAAGCTACGATCACAATGAATGAAAGTAATAACGCCTGGTTAGCTAGATAATAACAGATATTGAAAAAAGACTTTCTACCTGGACGGTAGGCATTGACATTTGCGCCCAATTCGATCAAAGTGTTTGCAACATTGTAAAGCACGGGATTCATGCAAGCTGCAATTAATGCAGTCTTGCCTTCCCTATCAATCCACTGAACACCGAAACAATTTCAGAAGCGACATAAACAGCAGAAATATAGTTGACACGAACTACCAAAGGCTCCAAATAATTCATTATCGAATGCTACCAAAATGCATAAACTTCTATAGAAAATGCAGATTGCTGTTGAATTAGTATGATTGGGATTTACTCGAAATCAACAGGATATTGTGTCGAGCTAAATACAAATTAGAAAATATCAAATCTGAAAGCTAAACCTACCCTTATGGACATATTTCAAACGAAAATATATGATCAATAGTCGAATCCTTAATCCCAAAAACCACTACATTAACTTTGGTTTCCTGATCACTTTTAGAATAAGAAACAAAATCAATCTGGATTTTAGACACTATATTGATCAGAACTCTTGAGTTCACCATTAGATTATCGAATTATAACTTTTGAAAAGTATTCCCGATCCATTCGATTATCCAGTTTGTTTGTTTGTTTGATTTCCTAACACTGTAATCCAAAATTCCCAAACACAGATAAACACCATTACAATATCGCACTTTGCAAACACAATCCAACAGAGCTACTTTGAACATAACCATTTCTAAATACGAGAATCCGTGCTAATCTATCAATTATAGTTTCAGATCGTTTGAGCATTTCATCTCCGTAATAAATTGAACTATGTATGTATATGAGCAAATTGAAGGCGAATCGAATACCTCGAGACCGGCTCCTTGGCTTCGAAGAGCTTTGATGCCTTCAACATTTCCATAACTGACCTGCTGATACAACAATTCATCCTTAGATTGTTGCTGCCCCATTATTCAGGAAAGGGGGATTTCTGCTACAAACCCCCCAATTTCTGTTCAAAATCGAAAAGCTCCAACAAAATAAATTGAGGGGAAACAGACGAGGGGTTCTCAGAATTATCCAGGAAGGGATGATTCAATCTACCGCGTCAATGAAAGACCAATGAATGGTCTGTTGATTGGAGATTATCCCAGATGAAGATTGAGGAAGAACTCGTTTTCTTAACAAGGAAGAGTTTACATTCAGCCGATAGTTTCAAAATATTAAATATTAATTAATTACTAATTAATTAATAAAAGGGACAGTTGTGTTTTTTTTTTTTTTTTGGGTATTTTTAGATTATTTTATTTTATTTTTATGTATCTAATTGAAAAAGCGATGAAAATATTATCTTTGAAAATTTGTCCCTTACCAAGTATTTTCAATAATACATAGGGTTTGTTTGATTGTGTTTGGGTGTGTTTTTCTATGTCGGTATGATGTGAAACAATAAAAAATTTGAATTTTGTAACAATTATGTCTTATTAAAAAATAATTAAAAAAAAATCAGTATGTTTTTTTTTAATTTATATATTATAAAAATTACAATATAGTCTCACCGTCCTACATAATTTGTCCCTATTTTCTATTTTCGTTCGTCCCCCATAACTTGTCATTTATATTTTTAGAAATATAATTATGCACTTTAATCGCATTTTAAATTTTAAATTTTATAATTTTCTTAACTTTAATTAAACTATTTACTTATCTTAATTTTAATCTATAATTATTTTTACTAAATAATAATTATTTTTACTAATACACTTTTTAATTACTTACTAATTATATTTTACCTAAATTCTCGTATCTATAGTAATACACTCATATTACATGGGACGGAGGGAGTAGTATATTCATACACAAATATATAAACAAAATAACATAAAATTTACTTATGATTTTTGCTAATTATCTGAAACACGTGTCTACTTAAAAGTCGAATGTCTTCGTACTTTAAGAAATACTACATCTGTTCGATTTTAGGGGTTTTATTTACTTTTTGTATATTAATTTTTCAATATTAATACTCCCTCCATTCCATAACAAAATATTCATTTTTTCATTTTAGTCCGTTCTATGAAAAAATATCCATTGTTTTTTTAGTAATTATACTATTTATCTAACATTACAAATACTTTTACAACTTTCAATATATTACACAAATGTCATTAATTTTATATCACACAATACCAATAAGGTTATTTTAGTTATTTCTACTTTATTCTTACTATATTCTAATATAATACTAATATTTCTAAAACTCCGTGCAAAAAACAAATAAATACATAGTTATGGGACGAAAAGAGTAATATCAAAATATAATACAAATTAAGAAAAAATTGCAAAAATATTTCTATTAATATTTTATAATGCTAATAGAAGGACATTTGTAGAAATAAAAAATAAAAAAATTATATAAATATAAAAATATTTTTTATTTTAAATAGAATGACACAAAAGATAAATGTGACTCGTGGAGACGAACGACTTACCTAATTTATACTCACCTCTAAAATAAAATGTTGTTAGACCGTGTTAAGTTTGGATATAAATTTCCCATTATGCCCTCCAATCTTGTAACCTATTGTGTAAGTTTTTTTTTTTCTTGTCTAAAATTAATAAATCCATTTTCCATCATCCAAACCCGCATCGTACCAAAAAAATTATACCCAGTGATGAAGTCCGCATCGCATGACTGGTCTGAAAAATTCGGGTTCGTCTAGATATGGATTTTTGGAGGTTTTTGAAAATTTGAAAGTTTAAAAATAGTAAAAAATTAATATTTAATTTGATGTTTTGTGAGAAAAAAAATATATTTGATGTGATATTTTTTAAAAAATAAATAGTATCAATCGTGGGGTGAAATATGAATTAGGGACCCTTAAATATACGAGAAATCATATTATGTATTTGAAATTATATGAATTTGAACCCAAAACTTCAAAAGTAATACATGTTACACTTGACCATCAAACTATATTCTCTATTAATACAACAACATCAAATAATATTTATATATAAATATTGTATATATAACATAAATATATAATGAGTCCATACTTAAATTGGGCTCTGAGCGGACGCCTCTCTCGTCCGGGCCCAGGGCGGGGGGCATGACTTTACCGAAGTTATTCCACTGATGTTATACCTTTTAAGTTAATTTGACTAAAATAATGTCAAATTTTCAATTGACACTGATGTCCGATGTATTATTGCTAATTTTATGTTGTCATGCTAATTTCATCCAAACCAAACCATATACTCATAGATTTGAATAAGTTTACTGATTTTAAATACAATTGAGTTTTTTTCTGAAGTATTTGTGACTTAGTTTTTACTATAATATACTTATTTAAATAATATTGTAGTCTATAGGTGTAGTCTTCCGCCAATGGATAGAAGTACACATGTGATTTTATACTTGTAGGTGCATGGTTACATTGAGTCCGAGAGTCTTATCATGTATTATTAGGGTCGAAGAAGACATGTTGAAAGGTTTCCAGTAATATGTTGTCTTTCGTCGAATGTCAGTGTGTTTGTTTGGTGAGCTTGAAATAAAAGAATTTCAAAGAGTATGAAATGAGGGAAAAAGTGATGGTTGTTTGTATTAACGTCCCTATTTAGAGCACAATCAATGGAGGTCGATGACTTGAATATTAACTTTTGCGGAAAAAAAAAAAAAAAAAAAGTACTTGCATATATAGTAAAAAAATCAATATATTTAATTTGTATGTGTCTATTAACAAGTTGGATAGTATGTTGAATTTCGCCATTCAACATTGCTGAAATGAATTTGAGTCATTAATAGCTTAATTACTTAAATTAATTTTATTTAATTAAGATAATTAAATGATTAAGATTAATTCAGCCTTATATTGAATTAATTAACACATCAATACTGTAAATGAGTAGAGTTTGTGTGAAATTTATTGTACATTGTTTATGCATAATAATACAATGGAATATCCTGAATTGGTGCCCCAAACATGGGCCAGTTGAGGGCCGAATTGGGTAAACAAATATTTGTGTGTTGTTTGTTATTATTATTATTTTTTATTATTATTTTTTTTTTTACATATAGATCATTCTATAATATGTTCATCGTTTAAATAACAAGTAGAAGATGGTATCTTAACATAACAAATTTAAGAATTCACATTTTATTCCATTACACATATCATTAGTGTTAGAATTGGATTTTGAAATGTAAAATGCATCATTGTAGGACCGACAATATATTTGAGATCAGTTATAATATGTATTAGTATATGTTGTATCGACATGTACTACAACATTTATTATGTCTTTATATTATATTAACACACTCATTTTACTATGGGGTGTTTGGCAAATAGCTTTTTGAAGAACTTTTAGCTTATTGAACAACTTTTAACTGTTTGACCAGTCAAAAAGCTAATTTAAGTGTTTGGTAAATTAGCTTTTTGGAATAGCTTTTCGAACCCAAAAAACTAATTTCTGAAAAGCTAACTTACCCAGCGTTAAATAACTTTTTCTGTAAAAAATTTTTTATTCCTTATATGCCCTTAAAAATTTATTATACATTTTACACAAATAAATATATTTTGATTATTTATTAATTATATTAGAATATTTTATTATATTATAGTTTTACTTTTATAAATTTAAAATAATTAATTTTTATATAAAAATTATTTTAATTATAAAATATATAAATTTATTAAAATCAACATAAAATAAAAAAAATATAAATATTAATAATTTATTTATTTTATTAAAATTACATTATATAAATTTTATACTAAAAATAAATTAAATTTATTGAAAATTATAAATATAATGAACTAATCCATAACTAACATAATAAATATATATACGAAAAATTTATTATTTTATATTTTACATCATTTCCAATAAAAAAAATATTTATATATTTTCAAATATATTATTTTTTAAATCTAACTGTAATAAAAATAAATAATTTTATAACACTTTTACAATTTTCAATAACTAATAACAAAAATTTTAAACATTCTAAACTCAAAAGAACATAATTGAATATATATTAGAAACAAGAATAAAATAGAAATATCCTCAATTGTCATTTTACGTATAAAGAGCTAATATCAAACAGTTATTTTACCAAACATGTTAATACAAACAGTTAATCGAATCAGTTAGTCAAACCAGCTAATTGAATCAGCTAACAGCTATCAGCTAATTGTCACGCCCCATATATATATATATATCGTATATAATTTTTGCCTATATAAGTTCTTAATACAATATTAATTAATCTCAATTAACATTGTAAACATCACCCATAAAACAAACCGCAAAGACATAAACATACCGCAAAGATATAATATAGTACAGTTGAAAATTAGAAGTATATAATGATGAATTAATTATAGCATTTTTTTAATTAAAAAAAAAAAGAGTTTTATTTTGCATTTTTATTTCATTTCTTTTTTTTTTTCCTTTTATATATATTTAAAAATTAATATTTATTTTTCATACAAAACATTCCACGACAACTAATTTCACGTTAAAAATATTACAACGAACAATATACAACTAAAATACATATAATCACAACTTCTTCAAACAAACCACAACTTTGACGACAGATTCTTAACATAGGTAGAAATAGAGAAGTAGGAAATAAGTTAATCGAACTTTATATATGAAATTCGATCACCGTTTATTTTATTATTTTGGTAATGTAGAAATCTGCAAGCACTACTCTTCGCTCGTTAAGGCTTGTGCGTGTTGTTCGATCAAAGATTGTTGTAGCGAATGTAGTCTTTGACATTGGGATACCTTGCCGGGGCCATAAGATTAACCAAAAATATTTGATCTACCACCAATTTGAAGAAGTGAAACCCTCTCTCTGGTTGGGTTGGCCATCCTGCATCGATCCGAAAATAATCGAAATTTTATTTATAGATGTTTTAAATTTAATTTGAATACCAACTTTATTCATCCAATTTTTATTTTTTTTTCTTTTTAAAAATATGTTTTTAATACAATATACTCTCTCCGTCCCACATATCATGTTCATGTTGCCGTTTCTGTCCGTCCACATACTATGTCACTTTCTTTTTTGGGAAGATGATTATACACTTTAATCTCATTTTAAACTTTTTAATTTTTTTTTTAAAATTTTAATTAAACTAATTAGTTATCTTAATCTTAATTTATAATTATTTATATTATAGAATAATTATTTTCACTAATATATCCTTAATTATCTACTAATTACACCCCTCCTAAAATACTGTATCTACATTGTAGCAGATACGGTACGTGGGATGGATAGAATATATTTTATTATCTGTGCCTTCAATGAAAATGTGTAAAAATGTGACTGAAATGTCCAAAAAAGTACAATTAATAAATAATGGTATAGTTATAATTTTAGGGTGTGATTGGTTGATGGTTTGAATTTTAAATAATAAAAATTTAAATTTAAATTATTGTATAATATAATATAAATATTTGAATCGATGCGGTATTTAAAATATAAAATTATTTTTAATATAATATAAAAAATAAATCTTTAATTTAGTTTGATATTTTGAAAAATAAAATAAAATAAAAACACGACGGTATATTTTTTACTTTCACAGGTGATGAAAATAAAATATACTCCATCCATCTCATAAATATAGTCTTAATTAATTTGGGCACGGAATTTAAGGAATATTGGTTGTGGGTAAAAAGTACGGATAAAAGACTTTTTTTCTCTTGTCAGTGTATTAGTGTAAAAAATAGTGACAATTGTGTATAAAAATGAAAAAGTAGAGGTAGTTTTATGGTGATATGGTTATTTATAGAAATAAGACTATTGTTTTAAGATGAATAAAAATGATAAACAAGACTATTACATTGAGACGGATGGTGTATTTAATTTACCTGCCAACTGAGGGTGATCTCTGAACAAAGCATCTTGAGCAAACACACCTTCCCTTGAATTTGGAGCCAATATTCTCAACTGATTAAATAAACAAAATTATGTACAAATGAGATGCTAATAATCATTTTGAACTTATTTCATTTCAATTATATGCTTATTATAATTTTTTATAAAATATCTCATTTAACTATTATTTTTTTTTCAATAATAATAATAACAATATTAAAAAAGTGCATATCTGTTAAATTTTTTTACAAATTATATTCTATCCGTCATAAAAAAAAATATAAATTCATTTATTTTTAACACGAATTTTAATATGAAATATATTTTTTTATTATTTGTACTTTATGTAAAAAAAAGATACAAATTAGAAGAAATAATAGTTTTTAATTAAAAAAACAAATTTACTTCCTTCGTCCCAATCGAAATGAGTCCTTTTAAGTTTTGTTATAGATTAACAAATAATAGTATTTTATTAGTTATTGAATGTACGTAAGAGGTTTTGATATTTTTTACCTTTCACTTTATGTATAAGGTAATTGTATATTATGTTTGTAATTTAAGTAAAAGTTAAAATATATTTTGATATTAGTGTATGATTTTTTAAAAATAAATAAAAAAATAAATATTTTTTAGTGAGACAGAAGAAAATAGTAAAAATAATACTTTGAATTTAGACTAATGAAATCTATTTTATTATAAAAAAAAAGCCTATTTTCTTTACACCATAAGGAAAAATATAATAATAATATGTAAATAAGAAAAGTTCAAATTTTTTTCGAATTAAAAAAATATTAAAACATTCGAAACACATGTAAGTACAAAAATACCCTTCCCGAGAGCGTAATCTTCGCGCAAACGGGCCATTGAGGTTCGTTAGTTTCGGTACAAAAGCCGAGTGGATACTCAGAGAGGGTTAAGGATGCACGGGGGCGGCGGAGGGCGTAAGCGCCGGTGGGGTCGAGGAGGGTGGTCAAGTAGAAATACGGAATGCCTTTGCCGCCATCACTGAAAGACATCACGTTACCAAAGGGTAGCCCCAGCGGATCGAGGGTGGCTAATACTCCGTATGAGCTTTGGTTCACTAGCCACCGCGAGAATAGAATTGCGTCCTCCGGCGCCGGCCGCGGCGACGGGCTGCCGGCGCCGCCCACACGGCGGGGCTCCGCCATCAAGAACAAGAAGACCACTAGGGAAAGTAGTGTTGTTGTTGATCTATGTTGGAACATGTTTAATTAGTTGCTTTGGATTGTATTGTGCAATCATATATATATATATATATATATATAGTAGAATGCACTATAATCTTGGTGCATGGGAATACTTTTAGGTTTTATTATTGTTATTATTATTATTATTAAATTGTTTAAAATAATTCTTTTTAGATATAATTTTTTTTATTTTTTTATGACGTGAAAATTCGCAGTTGCTTCTCGAAAGTGCGCACTGTATAAACTCCCGGTCGAACTTAATACCGTGCAAATGTCTAGATATAATTTTTTATTTATTTGATTTGTGATTTGAAATGAGTACAAATTTGATTATTTTATATAAACAATATTTGATATAGTAATATTTTTATTAAGAATCATATGGGATGAATAGTGATGAATATAAATTTGAAATGAGTACAAATTTGAGTATTATATATATATATATATGTACTTACACTATAAGGGTGTGTTTAATTGTGGTTTTGAGAGTTTGAAGTTTAAATTTTGAATTGTAAAATTTTATATTGAAATAATTATTTGAAGACTTCAACATGATTTATCTTTTTTTTTTTCATCTCTCGATCTATCATCGTTTTCTTTAATGCTTTTATTGTGTTTCTTTTCATTCTTTCATGGTCGTTTTCTTCTTCACTTCCTTGTCATATAATTTCTTGCCTCTTAGACCAACTTCATCGAACCATTGTCATCTTCGAAACTCTAATGTATATGTTATTGAAAAAGAATTATTGAGTACTATTACAATAAATATTTTAAGCGTGTTACAATATTATTTTTTATTTTGTTTTGTTTTATCATATGTTACATTAATTGTACAGTATATCAAGACTTGAGGTCGACGCCACAAATGAAAGATGAAGTTAAACCATAGGGGATATTTTGACAAAGCATTGTATTGGATGTAATGTTGAGATTCTCCTATCTTATAAGGGGTGAAGGGCTACTTCACTTACAACTAATTAGTTTTAAGTTGGAATTCCAGATCCCCGTCTTAATATGGTATCAAAGTCATGGTACTTGTATTGGGTTTAGATCCTGTATGAATTTTCGAGATTATCATCTCAAGGATGAGTGTTAAGTATCCCACATTAGATGTAATGTTATGATTCCCCTACCTTATAAGAGATGAATGACTACTCCACTTACAACTAATTGATTTTAAGTTGGAATCCGTCTTAACACAATTAAAATGATGTTTTGATTTTTGCATGCAAATTGTGTAAGACAATCTAGTAGAGTGAAAAAAAAAATTGGTCTATTTGTAGCGAGAGAAAATATTTGTTTCTTTTTCTTTTTATACTCGTCGTGTTTAAGAAGATTTTGAGCATAAATGACAAATTGAAGCTCATTTGAAAAAAAAAAAAAAAAAAGAAGAGAATTTGATTTTTTCAAATCTGAAAGGAAGATCAACATATGAACAAATTTGCTATCAGTTAGACAAGTAGTCTGTTAGTGTTTTAACTGCAATTTAATCTCTAATTTCTTATAGGCGGATATCTAAAAAGGATGGTTGGAGATGATTGGAATTCATTCTATACCTTGCGTGACTTTATTGTACATCTTTGAAATCCTTCAAGTATAGATTGTTATATCGAATTGGGTTATCAAATCTTGACCAGCCATTGTGTTATTTAATTTCTATTCGAACTTGGCCATCGATGGGCAAATGTCATTCGCAAACAAACATTATAACAATGAAACAATCTACATATTTTTCAGGGCGACAATTTTTCAACGCATAGTATGAAAATATCATAACTCACAATTATTTAATTTTTATTTACGTTAAATATCGTATCATTAATAAATATAATCAATTATCTTGAGATAAAAGAGAGTATTATTTATTAAATAAAATATTGCATTTAAGTTATTATTTAAATAAAAATAAAAATAAAAGGCAAGTCCTAAGATACAAGCATTTTATTGAGTGGGTGGAAGTAATGGGAGACATTAGAGATAGGAAACACAACACAACACAAGTAGTGGTTACGCTTCCTTCTATTGCTAATTAATGTATAGTCGGAGTCGACCGCAGTATTGTTTGACCAATTACCTTTAGTTTTAGATGGCTGGTTTGATTTTGGTTTTTTTTAGATAAACGCGATTTATATGGCTGGTTTGATTTTGTTTTTTTTAGATAAACGCGATTTATTGGGTGTGTTTGTCTGGGGGTTTCGATTTTGAGTTTAAATTTGAATAGTAAAAATTTTGAATTTGAATAGTTGTATGATGTGATATAAATAGGCCTTGATGTGATGTTTTGAATGTAAAATTGATTTTTAGTATAATATAAAAAATAAAAAAATAGGTATTTTATTTAATTTTTTTGGAATGAAAAATAGGATGAACAGTGTATTTATAATCCAATCCCCCAAAACAAACACACCCTTAAAGAACGAGGAACTCTTCTATAATATAAAAATAATCAGTATAGTCCGTAAGGGATGACTTGGTTGTGTAGGGGTTGGACTTGTGACCATGAGTCTATGGCAGATATTATTTTAAACTTTTATTAAAAATTCTCAAAATACAACAATTTTTTTTAAGAAAATAAAATTTTCGACCCATACACCATGTAAATGTTGTTTGGCGGATACATGTCTTCCAGGACTGTTGTTCTGACTTTTTTTGCGCAAAAAGACCAAATGTAAAAAAAAAAAAAAAAAATAATAATAATAAAAAAAAATAAAAAAAAATCTAATTATAAAACTATTTTAATATAAATTATAATGACGTGATTAAAATAATAAAATAATAGTTACTAAATTTAAAAGAAAAAAAATTACTTTAAAATTTTAAATATTATATATTTAAAAAAGAAAATTGAGATTTTGAAGACCCAAGTTCTACCAAATTAAACTGTACAATAATAATGTACATGAAAAAATAATTAAAATAAATTGGAGAATATGAGACAGAAAACAAGTAAGATGCTTTCTATTCTCATTTATTGGTTGGATACTTAGCTTTTTCAATAAAATTACACTATTTTTTTAATAAAATATTATATTAAAATATTATTTAAATTAATTTTTTATTTCAAATTAATTTTAAATCAATTTTAAATCAAAAAAACACAATTGAGGTTGGGCAACTTTCTTTTATAAGTATTAAAAGGTGTTCTTTTTATCAAAAAAAAAATATTAATTAATATATTATATGTATATTAATTATTTTTATATACATATATAATTTTTTATAACTCACTTGAAAGAATTTTTTCAAATAATTTTACAAAACAAACACACTCAAAATGTTTCAATTTTAGATAATAAAATAAAATAATAGACTAGAATATATTTTGAAAATTTAAAATTTGAATAATAAAATTTAAATTTAATACTTATTTTAATGTAATAAAAATAAGGATTAAGATAATAATTTAAAATAAATTATTTTTTTTTAAATATAAAAAATAATCTTTAAAAAATCCAAAGATTGTACACATTTATTTTATATTATACACATTACTTTCATCATTACTTTCCAAATAGTATTATTTTTATGGAATGATGAAAGTATAAGAAATGGTATAGATAATACAAAAATAATGATGAATGTTGTATATTAATTTTTTTTTGAAAAATATATAGAAATTTTTGTGCAAAAGAAAAAATTAAAACAAATTGTCAAAAATAATCTTTGGACTTAAAAATATTTATATTTTTGCATCGTTCAAATTTATTGTTATTTTTATTTGGTTAGCAACTTTTTTAAAAATAATTTATAATTTTTTTGTCATTTAAATTTATATACATTATTTTTAGATTATCATAAATAAAAAATATATATTTTATAAAAAATAAAATAATTGTAGGCACTAAAAATATATGTCTAAATTAAATTAAATATCATTTATTTTGGAAGAAAATAAAATTGCAATAAAATAAATATATGATATTTAATTATGCACGTGTGTTAATTTTTATACAATAAATATCAATCATTAATGCGAAAATCTGCTTAAAATGGAAGATATCGTATAAATATTACGTGCATAAATAGAGTCATAATAAATTTAACAGCAAAATAAATTAATCTTGTCAATAAATGAAGTATATAAATTAATATCTTCCGAAAAAAAGGCAATGATATAAAGATCTTGGCGAGAAAGGAAGATGCACAATCAAATCCGTCAAGAATAGAAAACGACATCTGAGAAAATGAAAGATTGTAAAATCTTCTTGTTAGTCGATTAGGACGCACCACGTGGCCCCATTAAAAAAGGAAGCCAAGGCCACCCCTCCCCTATAAATAGGAGTCATGGTTAGTTCATTTGACACACTGAAGTTACATCAAGAATTCAAGCAAAATGGTAAGTTTCTAAACTCTCTATGTATTGTTCTTCATATTCTTTGTGTCTTTCGAAGTGTTCTTCGTCGAAAGTCACTAATTTGGACAAATGAAGTTAACGTTCATCGTCGTATGTCCAAGCCGGAGGAAGGATCAAAGCTCTCAAAGCCGTTGAAGAATTCGTCAAAGCCAAGGGAAGATCTCTAAAGTTTCTCTCAAAGCTTCAAAATGTTCATCGCGTTCTTCTACAAAGCATCAACTAGGCCATCTTCGATTCAAAAGTCAAAGGGATACGACGCCAAAAGTGTTATGGAGCACCAAATCCATCTCTTTAAGGATCATAACTCCAAAAGCCGTTGAAAAATCCATCAAAGCCAAGGAAGAATATCCAAAGTTTATCCCAAAGCTTCAAGGTGTTCATCGCGTTCTTCACCAAAGCATCAACCAGGCTCTCTTTGATCCTAAAGTCAAAGGGACACGGCGCCAAAAGTGTTATGGAGCACCAAATCTACCTCCTCAAAGATTCAAGCCGCGGATCGTCCAAAAAGACATTAAATCTAAAGTCGACGATCGAATCGTCCACATGGAGATCGAAGCTCACCAAAAGGCGAAAAGACAAACCAAAGATCAAAACCGCGGATTATCCAAAGAGGACATCAAATCCAAAGCCGACGATCGAATCGCCCACACGGAGACCGAAGCTTTCCAAAAAGCGAAAAAGGCAAACCAAAGATCAAAACCGCGGATTGTCCAAAGAGGACATCAAATCCAAAGCCGCCGACGATCGAATCGCCCTCACGGAGACCGAAGCTCTCCAAAAAGCTGAAAAGGCAAACCAAATATCAAAGTCTCGAATCATCCAAAGAGGACATCAAATCCAAAGCCGACGATCGAATTGCCCACACGGAGACCGAAACTCTCCAAAAGGCGGAAAAGGCAAACCAAAGATCAAAGTCGTGGATCATCCAAAGAGGACATCAAATCCAAAGCCGACGATCGAATCGCCCACACGGGCCGGAAAAGGCAAACCAAAGATTAAAGCCGCAAATCATCCAAAGAACACACCAAATCCAAAGCAGATGATCAAATCGCCAACACGGAGACCAAAGTCCTCCAAAAGCGAAAAAGACAAAGCAAAGATCAAAGCCTCGGATCGTCTAAATAAGACATCAAATCCAAAGTCGATGATCATATCGCCTACAAGGAGACCAAAGCTCTCCAAAAAGCGGCAAATTCAAACCAAAGATCAAAGCCTTGGATTGTCCAAAGAGGACATCAAATCCAAAGTCGATGATCAAATGGTCTGCACGGAGACCTCAGGCAAAATCAAATCGAAAACCAAATCTCTTCGGATTAAAAAAACCATCGAAAATCAAGTTGGAAAACAAATCGATCCAGAAGGAGAATCAAATGATCCATTTAGAAAATATGACCCACTTAAATCCAAATCAAATATAATTTGTATAAATTTTTTGTATTTATTATAAATAACATAATTTTTTTTCCACAATAATAATTTTCTATTTTTATTAAAGTTCGTACTCAAATATTTCTTTATGCATTTGAACGACAAGAAATAATATTTAACATTCATAATTTTACACCATAAAATACACTATTTTTATAAAACATAACATAAAAATTACTATTCAATTAAAATAATAAAAAAAATCATTAAAGTTTTTCCAATTTTCAACTTCTAACTCTTTTTTTTTCTAAAATATTTTTTTAAATAAAAATTTATTATTATAATTATTATTACCTATTTGTAAATGCGGATAAAAAAGGGCTTAAAAGCACTATTGATAATGGTGATTTATTATTGCCTTTAGTTATTGGAGCATAATACATAATTCTACACCAGTTGCGCATTTCAAATATGTTTGCGCATATTTTTGTCGTTTATGACGACGACCTGGTCAACTAATGGTCAACTGATCGAAAACCCATTTGAAAAAAATTCTAAAAGTTAAATATAAGTGTTACAATTTTTAGGAGAAAATAACAAGATTGCATTATTGACCATCGAAGTCTAAAAAAATTAAAATAGTAAAATCGAGTGAAAAGTTACGAGTAAACTCATCCAATATAATTTCTAAAAAATATTGTTTACTATTTCTAAAAAATTTCTAAAAACTTTTATACAAATGTTGTTGTATATGGATTGATAATCACACCAAATAGTGGGAATCTATACCTATAGTTGCTCAAGTTTGTAGTAAAAATATTGATTGTTGTATATATTGTCCACAATTCAATTCTACTGCCACTTCAAAATAGTTTAATCTTAATTCAAACCATAATATAAAATCAATTGTTGTGAAATAAAAGTGCAAAGAATACCCTGTTTGTTTGATTGTATTTCCATATGTTTGAAATAGTACAAATAATAATAATAATAAACTAAAATAAATATTTGGTTTAATATTTAAATTAATCATATATAATATTAAATAAAATATAAGGAAGTAAAATATATATTATTATTATTGAAAATGAGGATCTAAAATATTTATCTACATTTTCCTTAGTATATAACCTACATTTCCCATGTCTTCAAAGTATCCTCTACAGTTACCTTCTCAAAAGTTATCGCTATACCAATCATCGAGAATTCTAATATTCTGCCATCGAGAATAATACCATTCAAAATGGTCGTATAATTGGACATACTTCAAATTTGAGAACTTTTATTCGACAGAAAAAAAAAAAAAAAAAAAAATCAATCCAAGCAAAAAATACTATTCACCACATTGTACCCATAAAAATATTCCGATCAAGTTTCAAAAGCATTGCTTATAATCGGGTAAAGTTTCAATGAAAAATGGTGTAGAATTGCCGCAAAAAAATCATCTTAATTCGAAAAAATATCATGTAAAGTAAATTCTAATCAATGGCGGGATCTTTGTACCTCTTGAAAGTATTATCTATATCTGTAAGGACTTCAGCTGCCAAAGGTCTCTCAGTCATCAAAAATGCGTCCAAGTCTTGTTTTAGTTGGTCCATCGATGTCGCACCAATTATTGAACTGGTAATAAATGGCTGGTCGCGCGCAAATGCAAGAGCTAGTTCGACTAGGGTTAGCCCGTGCTTCTTTGCTACATCAAGATATACTGCTGTTGCTTCCTGGAAGTTGAAGTTGCAAAATTTATTGAAATTTTTCAAAGAGGAAAAAGTGCATGGAAACAGAAAACATGGAGTTTTTTTAGGATAATTTGTACACCCAATGCTTTAAATGTAAACAGATAAATAAGGAATTAGGATCATACATATAGTTCTTCTAAATTATGGGTAAATAACAAATTTAAAAATTCAAATTTAAAAATATAAACATAAAATTTTTTTTTCTATCTATTTCTTTACTTTGCAACTCAAAAGTTTTTTTCTATTATTTCTAATTTAGAATCTCCCAAAATTTTTGCAACTTTTCTTTATTTACACAATTATTTCTATCTTATCTCTTTAAGAATAATTCATAAAAACATACTCAACAAAGAAAATAAAAAATAAAAAAAATAATTAAAATTAGAGTAATAATTTTTTTAATCACTAGAGTCCTTTATCATTTTAGTCTGCAACTAGATCCTGACGCAAATTAATTTTACAATTTTAGTCGTCCGGAGCTGGAGATGCCTATGTGTGGCACTCATGTGGCTGGCCGGAGGACATGTATCCGTCAAGTAAGCTAGCGGACACGTAGATTTTTGTTTTCAAATTTTTTGTAAATTTTTTATTTTTTGAAAAAGACAAAATAAATAAATTAGATTTTTTTAAGAAAAAATAATTCATGTATCCGCCGGGTGTTGCTGACTTGGCAGACACGTGTCCTCCGGTGAGTCACGCGGGTATCACGTAGGAATCTCCGGCGCCGGAGGATTAAAAATTCAAAAATTCTCCACTTAGGGGACTAATTTGCAACAAACTCCAATTACAGGACTAGACGAGTTACGGACTAAAAAAATAATTTATCCTTAAAACTATATATATACCACTTAAAAACACTAGAAAAATAATAGGATCACAAAGCATTATTTTTTTCCTACGAAACATAACATCCAACAATTATTTCACAAAAAAAAAAATCAAAACACACACCAAAAGAAAGTATTTAAAAGCACTCCTAAATTCTCAAAGAACGCCTCACCGCTATTTGCTAAATTCCAAAGAGCTCCCTTTGTGAAGACATTCAATTGTACTATTTAATCAAGATTTTTTATTTTTTTTTTGATGTATTCTTTGTGCAGTGATGTTACTAAACCTAGATATTATATCATTACCCATAAAAAAAAAACATTTAATCAATGATGATCACCTTGGAGAAGTAGAGCATCAAAAATAATATGTTTGTGCAAATGCATGAATGAGATACCATGTTTAATGACTGACTAGTGATGCATACCTTAGACAGGGACTTGTTGTATCTTTCCATATAGCCCGGGAACAGGCTAAACCTCCCTTTCTTTGCAGCTTCTGAATTAGGGTCGAGATATTTCCCGGACAAAGCTCCGCCCGCAAGTGGCGAATAAGCAAGTAAGCCAACGTTGCAGTTCTTCGGGTGGCAAACTTCAACAAGGTCAACTGGACACCATAAATTCAAACAAATGAGCCTAAAACAATTCAAATGATAGAATTACATCAGTTAGTTGCATCTCGGAAGCACAATGTGAGAAATGGAAATTCAAATTTCTAGATTTTGGAATGCATTCGTAGCGTTTGAATATCTCAGCAAAATACAAATCAGGTGTCAAAACTCTTCCTGGCATTCCACCTTTTATCGTTCACTTCTTTACTTTATAAAGCTTGTAAACAGTCATGGGGTGTAATATGCATTTTTGGTTACAAAAACATTACAATGAACGGGGAAAAACCAGCTATCTACGATTTGTTTTGGGTTAAAAACTACCGATATAATTTACCCTTGTCCTTAAAGTGTAATAACAATGGTCAACTACGCGCAAGGAGTTCATACAACAGTAGATCCGCAACATGATTATATGGTCCATAAGAATGATTCTGACAATCCTATAATAGTATCACCATTCTTTTCGAAATGCAGATATGTATTGATTTTCTATTTGCTTTATAGCTCTTTCTTTCATTCTTTCATTAAACAAGCTCGAATAGAAATTTGAATGATCATAAAAGACAGCTAAAAGACACGAGCGGGATAGAGAAAGTAATATGCTGTAAAGGTTAATCTGCCCTTGATCAGATAGGAAGATAACTTACGTTCGAACTTGCACCTAAGCAGCAGACTATAGTAGTTCTGGATGCTGATTATTTTTGGTAGGCCTTCACTTTTGGCAGCATTAACAAATTCCATTACTCCGTATGAGGTTTCATTGGAAACACCAATGTATCTAACCTGTACAAAACTAGTTCATCATTAATAAACTTGCCAATATGGACTAAAGGGTAATGGAAAATGACACACACACACACAAATATATCGATAAATTTCAACCACAGGGCAGTTATGCTCTTACAATCATCTACCAATGTATATCCACTTATTCAAACACAAACAAGGATTTCATAGAATATCAAAGCAATTGTGACACCCAGGCTCGCAAACTGTGCAAAGCCGGACGTGTTAAGATTGTAGACTAGCCCCACAAATCAACACGAGTCCTTCCGGAAAGACTTCTAAGGGGTCACCCATCCTCAAATTAACTCTAGAATTCTTTCAATAGAATTCCCGAAAATGAACCGCACATTATTGAAATGAGTAGTTTATTCAATCCATTTAATTATTATTTAATCTCGAATAGCCTAACACCAGCTCATCCACACATGGGAGTTGGCCAAGTAACGGCACAACTCCGGAGTATTACAACAATGCATAGGGAAAAGTAAATAATAATAATAATATTAAAAATAGAAAATAAAAACTATAACAATTTAGGCAAAGTTGCAATTAGAAACCCCTCTGAAATGCCAATTCTATTTTTAGTATAAAGAAAGTAATCCCACCACAAGTTCAGGTTGGTTGCAATGATGGATTAGTTTAATTAATTTAGTGGCATGAACAGCAAATTTCCACAATTTATGTTGGCTTGAAATAATAGGATTATTTTATTTTATTTTATTTTATTTTTGGCATTTCATCTATACAAATTTGAAGTTGTCAATCTGGACAGAAAAATGTTGTGTGAAACACAATCCATTGAACGGTCATGTATGCCGCATGCAACGTTAAACTATAATCTGAATAGCTAGAAAATTGTACTAAGATCACAAAAAGCTGGTCAATCATTGTATTTCACTTTGTCATGGGACTAATATAGAAATTAACACTTCTTGTGGGAGTAATATTAGAAGTTTGCCAATGCACCTTAACATTACATTGACAACATTGGCAACTGTTGATTGAGAGCTAAGATATGATTATTAAGCATTTAACAAACTTTGTGATTTACCAGATTCAAGACACTATTGATTATTGACTAAGTTAAGAGGTCAGAAACAAAAAAATAAACCTTATTTGATCAAAATCTAGTTAACCTTGATTGCTGCGCAATTGCAAATGCCAAAAAGCATTTCAGGAACAATTATAGTGTATACATACCTTCCCTTGATCAATGAGCTCCTGAAATGCCCTCAGCTGCTCAACAAATGGCACACTTGGCCTCCATCTTGAAGAATCATACAAATATTCTCCAAACAATGGAACGTAACGATCTGGCCTGAAACAAATTAATATGTATTATACAAGGATATGTTAAAGATACAAACTTCCATGAGTGTATTCCAGCAAAGCCTCAGCTAGATAAGAAACAACTTTATAATATATTGACTCTGGATATATCATTAGTTGAAACGTAGCTTCCAGCTAAAGCAAAACTCGAAGTTCAAAGCACCTGACAACTACAAACTGAAGCTAGTTCCAAATGTAAAAGGATTTCAGATCAAGGAAAAGTCTTCACTATGTGGGTGAGTTAGTTTTCTGTTGTTTTATCCAGTGCACTTAATGTTCATATTATTAAACGTTAACAGAACATCATACGTTGTGGATCATGATACTGCAGCAATAACTAGGTGAACAAGAAGCACCTTGAACACAAAGCAACTAACCATTGTAATTAGCATAGGCCCAAATATAAAATGATATGTAATATTGCTTCAATGGAGAAAAGGCACAAATTATGACCATATTCCTCCAATGTAAGATGAGCAAATTTTAGAAATAGACAAATATATCTAGCAACTAAAGGCATAAAGCTCATTCAGAAGAAGTAGAGGGAACAGACAGGTCATAGGTGCTCCAACTTATTTTAGGATTGAAAAGACAACAAGACGAAAGAATTATTGAGGGACAATCAAGAGAAGTTCCATTCACTTGAATGTGAACAAGTTGGCAACAGATCACACAAGAAAAGAAAAGAAGAATAAGAAATGTGAAGAGAAACTATGAAGTTACCAATGTATTTGGAGCAAGTCAATGTAATCCGTATTAAGCCGTTTAAGACTTTTCTCCACACTTTCCTTGATATTAGCAGAATCAACTCGCGCAACACTTGAATTCTCACGAATATATGATATTCGCTCACTGTAACCACAAAGTTTTGTGGCCAGAATGACCTAATCAAGATAAATGCCATACTTAGCAACTAAGCATAATTGCACAAATCTTAATAGATATTTGAAATATGAAGTATTACTCGAGAATGTTCGAATACGTTTAAAAAATGGGATAAATATCATAAAAACTTTACTGCAAGTCAAAACCTTAACAAGAGTTTAAACCACGAAAAGCTGAAGAAATCTAGGATCAACTTATCTAGAATTAACTGGAATTCACTAGTTCATGTTAACAGATAATCAGAAGGATTTAGGCTGTTGTATAGCACACAGTTGAGGACTCCTCTGAAGAAATTTAGATCATCAAATCATGGTAACAATCATTTCTAGAAAATTTCAAAACTCGAATCAAAGAAAGGGGAGATAACAGAAAACATAACAAAGATATCATCCTGGTAAGACTATCAGAATTCTGAAGAGAAGTTCTAGCATTGGTAAAGCATTTAAACACCTTATCTCGAGGCTGTGACTTCAACCAGCTTGCAATATACCGATCTGTCCTTCCTTGAGTCTCTTTTTTCACAGGAACAGGATACTTGAACATCAACAAAATAAGAAGGTAAGTTAATAATCAACCTTATTTTCAAGAAATTAATAGAAAAGGAGAGATTATTAGTCTAGAACATGAAACACTGCGTGCAATTGATATGCATTCTATTAAAATCTTATAGGAATTAGACTCACAGCTCAAATCCTAGACTTACAGATGAAGACAATGGATCCACTAGCAACTAACCCAACCAAATTTTAACCATTCTAACGCGAAAATGTCTCTACTCTTGAATGCTCTAGGCTATGTTTAACATGCTCGTGCAGATCTTACAGGCAAAGTATTAAACATCCTAAATAAGGTTGAAATCTAATTATGCTTGCTATAGTACTAATGTACATCTCATCACAAATGCTTTTAGCCTTTTACTATATTATAATTTGATATATGGTAGAGTTTCTTTTGAAATCCAGTTCTAGTCCACGAGTCCACACAATCCAAAAACATTCAAAATATGTTTATTGTGCTGCTCCAAAAACGTCACAAATGGAACTGTGAATCATAACTTATCTTGAGATCTCAATCCAAATCCATTTTGACAATTTTCAAGGACCAATGGTATCCGTTAGTAAAACCTTCCGTACTTTCAGGTAAGATTAGTTAGTAATTGCAATGTTACAAAACGACCATATCAGAGAGTAAAAAAGTGTTCGAAGCGTAAGTGAGAATTTACCAAAAATCTCCACATAGGCACAAAATGTGCAAAATATATCATAATTCATATCATTTTATCAATCACAAAGAGAAGTGGTATTTACCATTTCTGCAGTATCTAAAATATTAATGCCACGCTCAAATGCGTAACAAAGCTGCTCGTGAGCCTCCTTCTCCGTATTCTGCTCCCCAAATGTCATCTGCAAAAAAATGCATAAACACACAGCTGTATAAGCAATTTTACCTCAATCCAGTTCCATAAATCACCGAGACATCGTTATAAGAAAAAATAAGCATGAATCACAAACAATTTCGACGAATTCAAGTCAAAACAAGGAAGGCGCGTACAGTTCCCAGCGTGATTTCGCTAATGACGAGGTCGGAATCGCCAAGTTTTCTGTACTCCAGCTGATTTTCTCGGCGTTTTTGGCAGAGTACAACAAAAGAGGTGTTGTTCCTCCTCCATTTTTGTAGCGGCGGGGGATTCCTCCGGCGAAGAGCTGTGTGGAGTGTGGAGCGACTAGCAGAATTGAGGCGCGTTGAGGTTCCAGTGGTGGAGGGGAGTGGAGAAGCGCAGAAGGATGATGCCATGGCCATGGATTGTGTACGGAAGCAATGGATAAATGGAGGGAGCGGAGCATATAAAGTGGCGGGCAGCGGATCGCGTGCACCTGTCCTCTCTGCGCTTTGTTATCGCGGAACTGCCGTCTGTTTGTTTGTTTGTTTTTTTTTTTTCTTTTTTTATTAATTAGTACCCTCTATTGAAATCGATATGATTTTATATATATATATATATATATTTTATCCAGGTTAACATTTAATATAAAATATTATTTTTTATGTCTTATATTTATATATATTAATTTATTTTTTTTAATTTTAAAAATATTAGTATTATATTATGATAAAATAGAAATAAAGATAAAAAGATTAAGGGTGTATTTGTTTGGGAATTGGATTAGATTTCTGCTATTCATTCTATTTTTTTTTTCAAAAATATCATATCAAACACCTATTTTTCATTTTTTATATTATACTAAAAATCAATTTTACATTCAAAATATTACATCAACACCTATTTATATCACATCATACAACTATTCAAATTCAAAATTTTTACTATTCAAATCTAACTCAAAATCCAAACCCCAAACAAACACACCCTAAATTAATCTTATTAATATTATATGATATAAAGATAATGATATTTGTGTAATACTCCATCCGTCCCGCACAGATGACCCCATTTACTTTTTGGTACGTCTCATAACTTCTTTCTATTTTTGGCAAATTTATCAATCTTAAATATACTTTATAAATATAAATTAATTTAATTAAACTTCTAACATCTTACACTTAGAACCCACTCAAAACTTTTTTTATTTCTTATGTCTCCTCAATTAACAAATATTCTTATCTACCTTTAAAACTCCTCATTTTTTATAAAATTAATTTATGATAATAATAAATAAATAAATATGATATCCATATTGCATATATTTTATTGAGATATAATTGTAAAAATATTTAAAATACCAACAACACTACACGGATAAAAAGTAATAATATATTATATTAACTTATTATTAATAATTTATACTACCTAAAATACCGTGTCCCTAACAAAATGCTACATCTTCCGCGGAACGGATAGAGTATATTCTAAATTAGAAGGGTATTTGTAACGAAGAAATTAATACTTTGTTACGTGACAGACCAAAATGAAAAAAAATAATAATAGATTGTTAAGGGACAGATGAAGTATTTTTTATATTACAAATACAATTTACAATACCTCACATAAAAAAAATAAAATAAAATAAAATAATATTATTTTTATTAATCAGTGGAATAGTGTAAGTTGGGGTGTGTAAGACTATTATGACATCTTTTAGCTTTGATTTCACGTAAAAGGTAAAGTAAATGGAATAATTATATGTATGCAATTTAAATAAAAATTAAAAATATTTTGTTATCGTTGTATAATTACGTTTCTAAAAAAAATAGATACTTTGAAATAGGACGGACGAAAAACGATAAAAAAAATATTTTAAAATGAGGCGGGAAAAGGAATATAGTCGCTTTGTTCTTCCAACAAAATTTTGAATTGTGATTCCGCGTCATTGTATTAACATTGAATATATTCTTTTATTTCTATAATTTTTTATATAAATGTCATTATATTCGTACTATAAGACATCAATTGGAGTATTTTTGTCAATTTTCCTTTGATTTGTACTACGTTTTGATATAATAATTAATATTAAAAAATCAAAACGCAAAAAGTAAATTTGACTCTTAGAATCGGACGAAAGTAATAATAACAATACAATTTTATTTTTTTTTACAAAAGTCAAAACAAAATTCAAATATTCATTACAAAAATTCAAAAAAATCAAATATTCAATTTAAAATAATACTCCCCCTGTCCCATAAAAATGATATAATTTTCTATGTTTGTTAATCCAAGAACAAAGGTATCACTTCTTAATTTAGTAATTGTATTACCTACCTAACATAATAAATACCTTTATAACTTACAATATATTACACAAATGACATCATTTTTATAACACACCATACTAATAAGGACAGTTTCGTCTTTTTTACTACAAACTAATACTTCCTCCGTCCCATAACAAAGTATTCATTTTTCCATTTTAGTCCGTCTCATAACAAAGTATCAATTTCCTTTTTTAGTAACTGTACTATCTACCTAAAATTACAAATACCCTTACAACTTACAATATATTACACAAATGTCATTATTTTATATCACACATACTAATAAGGTTATTTTAGTCATTTCTGCTTTATTCCTACTATATCATAATATAATACTAATATTTCTAAAACTACGTGAAAAAAGCAAATGGATATTTAATTCCGGGACGGATGGAGTATAATATTAATATTACAAAATTTACATGCAAAAAAACAAACGATGATCTCGTTGCAAAATCGATGGAATATATTTTATAATTTCCCGTACCCCACACAAAAATCAATTCATTTAAAAACGTTACTAGACCGTTGTAAAAGAAAAATAAAAATAAAAATTATTAATCAGTCTTAGAAAGTGAAAAATTGAAAGAATAAAAAAATCTAAATAAATCCCGCATCCAAGCAAACGTGGGTTGGGCTTGGGCTTAGGCTTGGGCCGAATATTCATATGTTTTAAATTTATTACAAGCTTTTTTCAGTGAACTTTTATAAATTGTTTGTAAATTTTTTTAGACGCTATTTTTTAAATAAAAGTATTTTAAATAAAAAGTAAAATAAAATAATTAAAAATATTTTAATTAAAAAAAAGACTCCCTCTGTCCAGCTAATTTGTCCCCTTTAATTTAGACACGAACCTTTAGATATTATATAATTAGTAAATAATTTAAAAGTATATTAGTAAATAATTATAATTTAATTAAAATAATTATAAATTAGATTACAATGACTAAATAGTTTAATAAAAAAAATATAAATTATAAATTTTAAAATATAATTAAAATGTATAAAATAGACAAATTAAATGAGATGTGAGAGTAACAAACAAAAACTAATATTAATAAATGATAAAATATTTAGATTATCTTTACTCATTGCAGCAACTATAGTAAAAATACAATTAATTTACAATAATTTTATTATAACAATTTTATATTATTTTATATAATTTTTTATATTTATAAATTACACTATAATATTAATTTATTATTATATTATCATCGAAATATATATAGTTTATATTTTATTTAAAAATTACATATATAAAAATTAGCATTTATATTACATATATAAAATAATTATTTTTAAAATAAAAAAGGTCATATAATTTTTTACAAAGTAAAATTACACAGTTATTTTTTAAAAATAAAATTATATGTCACTTTTAAAAAATAAAATTATATACATTTTTCAAATATCACTTTTAAAAATATAAATTATATATCATTTTCTATAAAAATAAAATTACACCATCCCCCAACTTATGTGTAGGTTGGCGAAGCCCTTATTTAATTTTATTTTTGAAATAATACTGTGCATTATTTTATTTTTGGAATTGGTCATTTTTTTATAGTTTTTTTTTTTTGTATTATATAATTTATTTATTTTTTTAAATAATGTGATTTTAGTGTTTAGAAAAACAAAATATTCTTTCTGTCCTAAACATATCGCGCACTATTTGAGTTCAGCACGAGAATTTAGATTAATAGTATTAAGTAGAATAATTTGAGATAATTTGGAGATTAAATAATGTCATTAGAAAGATAAATGCATATTTTTTTTTATTTGAGCGATATGATGGAATAAAATGAAGTGTATGTTATATATATATAATTAATTATTTATAAATTCGAAAATATTGCAGTAAATTTGGGATAAAAATAAAATAAAATATTGCAGGGTGTTTGGAATAGAGGGAATATTATTTTATTTTTTTTTTATTTTTTTTTGGAAAGGGATGTGTAATTCTAATCTTTTGAAAATAATTATTTTGTATATTTCTAATAAACAATTATATATAATATTTATATGTGTATGGTAATATATGTTATAAAATTAAAATAAAAAACAATAATATACTCCCTCCGTCCCAAAAGTATAGTCCTATTGTATTGGACACGAGATTTAAGAATATTGATATTATATTGGTAGTTGGTAAAAAGTAAAGATAAATAATTTTTTTGCCCTTGTGAGTATATTAGTGTAAAAAGCAGTGGCAATTGTGTAATAATAATGAAAAAATATAGATAGTTTTATGGTGATATGGTTATTTATAGAATGAGACTATTGTTTTGAGACGGACAAAAATGGTAAATAAGACTATTGTATTTGAACAAATTCAGTATATTATAATATGAATTATATATATTTGGGTGATAATGTAATAAAAAATTAAAATTAATTGTAATTTATAAATATAAAAATTTATATAAAATAAATTTCAGAACAAAGAATCTGATGGTATGGAAGTAAACGGGTGCCTGCAGACGGAGATGACCATATATATGAAGTATTATTTACTTGTGTCTGTTTGGTTTGTATTATAATTTTAAAGTAATAAAAAAAAAATAAATTACTATAAAATATTATTTTTATATTATGACAAATTTTTATATCTAAATTTTATTATTTTTCAAAAAAAAAAAACTAAACAAACACATTAACTTTAATTTTATATTCAAACTATTATGAATTATAATATAAAAAAATACTTTAAACTAAAAATACTGAACAAATATATTTTAAATTTTATATTGAATACTATCACGGTTTTTAATATAAAAAAATATTTTAAACAAATACTAAACAAACATATATGAACACATATTTATATCAAATTAAATAAGTAACTATTCAAATTCAAAACCCAAACTAAAAAAACAAACACACCCAATGGTTGAATATAATATTTGCAAGAAAATAAATATATTTTTATTAGCAACTACAAAATTATATGATAATTTATTTTTTTTTTAAATACAAAAGGAATAGAACCCAAATTCAAAAATTATTTCACCTAAAAATATCAATTAAAAAAAATACCAATTAAAGAAACCAATAAGTTTGTTTGGTTGTGGATTTAGAAATTAAGTTTGGAATGATAAATAGTACTATAATTTTTCATTTGAATAATTAATAATATTATATAAATATTTTTGATATTATGTTTTTTAACATAAAATTAAGCTTTAATCTAATA